GTGGGGCCGGGAGGAGATCGAATGGCAGGACCGCGCGTGGAGACTGCTCGAGAACGACGGGCAGGTGAGCGTGGATGATTGGAGTCTGGCGGGGATGGCGGTTGGGGTGGCGCTGGCGCTGTTGGCGGCAAGGAGGGGTGCGATTGTGTTCAAGAATCGGCCCATGGCGGTTGTTGGAGCTGCCGGGTTGGGGAGCTTGGCTGGGACGGAGGGGTCGGTGGAGTGGAGAGCTCTGATGAGGACGGAGGTGAGGCAGGAGAGGGCTGGGCCGGAGGCGGGGAAGAGGCTGCTGGAGGAGTGATGCAAAGTTGTTGAGTTGGGTGTTCGACTGCAGAGCAAGGAGGATGCGTGGGATGTGTCATCTTGGTATGGAAGCTCGCAGTCATGTTTTGAGGGAGCTGCTTCTGAACAACTAATTGCACCCTCTCCTCAATATTTGTCTGTTTTTTTTCCCCCCCATCCCAACAGCATGAGATGGGTGGAATGGGAAACAGAGCATTCAAGGCGTTTCGGCTGGGACAAAAGCAGGATCACCTATCATACAAAAGAGTATATTCATATCAAGGAAGTGCAGTTCCGGAGAGACAATATGTATTATCTAGGGAGATATGTATCATAGTGCAGACGGCTCGGACTCGCCGCTGAGTGTCCTACCTCAACGGCGGTTCCTAAAATCCACTGAGATTGGAACGCCGGTGGAAGGGAAATCACTTCTACTCTCGCCTGCCTCTTTTCCCTCACTTTAACCTTGTAAGACCAGACCGAGACAGGACCTTTCCCTTGGTCCGCTCGGAGCATTCTAAGCTCGGGGTATCATGAGAAAGTGAAACGCCTGTCCGAACCATGCCAAATCCAACTCCACTCAGACCTCCACTTCGATGAGCTGTGCAACGGTCCAGTCAACAACGCTCTGTAAAGTCCAGCCTCCTGGCATTGCAGCCATGGGCAATCTGTTCCTTTGATGCCCAGGCATCTCTCCAAGTCCTCCAACTCCAACCATTCCCTCTTTCACCCGCCACTCACGTTCGGCAATTTCTCCTGCCCTATTCGCGATGGCGTCTTCATCCTCACTTCTGTACAGGTCGCACTTTTGACACTCAGTGCACGGCTGGCCCGGATTGACACGGAAGTGCTCGCAAAAGTGACGATAGCCATGTGTGTCTTCCACGGGTCTGCGAGCGCGAGGATAGTCGAAAAGCGAAGGTGCTCCGAGTGCTGTTCTGCAAAGGTAGCACATCGAATAGCCGCATACGCATGTTAGTTTGTTGCAGCCGGAGGCCTTCACGAAGGATAGCCCACATCGGGGACATGTCCTTTTGATTGCAGCGGTTCTTGCAGCTTCGATGGTGGTTCGGAGGGATATGAGAAGCGGCTCGTGGCAAGTATGGGGATCATGCCATGCTTTCTGGCACTTCAAACAGCTTGTTTTCAGGCACGCTGGATGGCGACATTTGAAGCGTGGAGAACGGTTGCGTAAGGCAAGCCTGTGCAACGACGCATGGAATACCCCGATAGGCTCAATGAGTCGTGAGACGGAGAGCATGACAAAAACGAACAATAAGACTGGTAAGAGATCGACTATAACAACCATGACTAGTAGAGTGGTGATGGACCTGCTGGATTTTAGATGCCACGCAGGGGTGGGCATTCTGTGAGAAACCTCGCTTGGATCTGCCTCTGCATAAGAGCAAAACGGACACCGGGTAAGGGTCAGCTGTGACTTGAGTAGAGATTCCTGGGCAAGCCGGTCTTCGAACATGGTCCACGATTCGACGCCAGGTCCTTCTGCCCGGATGGCTTCTCGGACTGCTGGTTGAGAGATGACTCCAGTACAGATATCGTCGACAATCGGCGCAAGACATTTGAGAGCGCCGCGATCAGGATCGATAGATCTTCCCCACCCCTGTCCAAACAATGCCTCGTGGACAGTACGACGGATGCATTCGAAGCACACCAGGTGTCCGCCTGTGGTGCAGGACGACATTTTCTCGAAAGTGGCTTCACCACAGCAGCACTCACACTCGTGCAATGCGCCCACACTTCTAGCCTCAGCTTCGTTCAGCTCCTCTGCTACCTTGCGGTCCTGCTCTTCCTGGCGTCGGTTTTCTTTCCTTTTTGCTGGTTCGAGGAAAGACTCCTGCAGCTCCTCATCCAGCTCTATCGAACCGGTATTGAGACTACCATCTGCTCTTACACTCTTGCCTAGGAGCGCTGTGGGAGCTACGTCATTCTCCCTTCTCTTCTTGAATATATTCAAATTGCCAAGGGTAGCCCGCCATGTCCGAGTAGAAAGATCTTTCAGGGTCGGCCGTGCTCCGGTGTAGGAGAAGTTGTTCTCCGCAAGTACGCCCTCGATCGTGCTCTTGCTCAGGTAACGGAACTCGTGTGAGAGTAGTTGTAGCGTTGCAGATTTGTACTCTGTGCTTCTAAAGGAAGCATGCAGAGGAACGTCATGCTCGATATCTCTGGGAGGAGCGTGCCACCTCCCTCTCGCCCATTGCGTTCGATGCGTTAGTAGTTGATCCACACAAATCCGCAATCTGCTGTCTCCGGGAAACTTGACAAGGACCTCGCGAAGGACTTCGAACTGAAGATCCGGGAATAATCCGGACAAAGTGATAAGGTCATTGTTCAAGTCTACCCTGTCTGTTTCCTCCCCCTTTGCCGTTTTGGTAAGGACGTTAGTTTCCGTCCGGCTAGCAAAGGGATTCAGTCGTAGGGCTTCTTGGAGAACCGAGCTCGAGGATGATGGTCGTTGGGAAGCTGGAGGTCTTGTAGGCGTTTTGAGCAGGTCGAAAGGTAAAACCATTGCAACTCATCCCGTGCGAGATTAGGAGTCTGTAAGATGAATGATAAAAATAAAACAGTGAGGGGGCGTCATCATATGTTGTGAAGCCCACGAGTAGATATGGGTCTACAATGTAGCGAGAGGGGCAATCATGATATGCCCCACCATCGAGCACTCATGCTCCTCACGGTTATGGGGAGATGGGGAGATCTGTAGCATAAGGCTACAGTTGCTTCAGGTACCATACGCACCACTCTGGCTAAACAGTCCAAGAGCAGTATCGTTCGTCTCCGTCCCAACAGAAGCCCGGAATCTTCTCTTCCACTCGGAAAAAGCTCCTGCGTCGTGACGGGTCAGGTTTAGCCCCGGCTGACTCTGTCCGAGCGCCAAGATATTTTCGCCGAGGTTTCCGATGACTTGAAGGATTTCTTTCCAGCTCAATGTCTTCTCCCCTAACTAGCACCACCTAGTACAGCACAACTATGATACCCACAATGAAGGGTACTTCGCTTGAATGAAGCGTCTCGATGCTGCTCCGACGTCGAAGTGGTAGTACGCTGCCTTCAGCCTAGTGACAGCGACCAAAGGAGACTCCTCTGCTCACCCCTCTTGCCACTTTCAATTTTCAATCTCTAGTCAAATCGAACCATTCGCAGAGGATAACCACTATGAGTATAGTGCTTCAGAAGCCTCGCTAATTTAATGCTAGATATTCAGATTTTCGTTCGTCTTACGGGCCCTCCGGGGATCTCGTCCAGCAGTCTAAGCTCTGCATTCGGCCAGCATCGAACTTCCACATCTGGCTTGTCGGTCTCACCGTTTGGCTCTACTCATACTCAGATTCTGGCTTGCAATTCTTGTTTTCCCTGAGCTCCTTTCCGGACCTTTCTGCGGGCTAATCTTTGTCAGGGAGCTCACGATGAGTGCTTTGCACTTGCTGCGGAAGGTAGGCTGGCAAAGAGCGTGGCGGGCTTGAGCGTGGCGGGCTTCGGCGCGTTTGTAGTAGCCTTGCGTGGCCATGCACATTCACAAATGAGAGATGTCCGCACACTAGAATGCTGTGTGCGCATTCACAAGTGTGATCATCTTGGGATCGATATGGTTGAACAGAATTCGCGCTGGATCCGCAAGTGCTCCACCGTACGGATGCATCTCCCGACTAGTTATTTGTGTTGCGAAACTCCACTCAGTTCTGTGGTATGCTTCATGCAAGTTAGAGTAGCTGTTTGAAGGTAACACAGAATTTACTCGTGAGCAGCCATGAAAACCGTTTACAATCAGGGTCTCTCTAAGCTGGATCGCCTTCGTGGCCTTTTCAACACTGGCAAATTAAATCGATTTCGCTGGCCCCTCTGTTTAATGGGAAGACCGCAACATGACAAGGGGCTCATGCTGACCTCTCTTTGTTGAGTGTTGAAAGCCGCCAGAGGCTCTTTGTCGCGTTTTGTTTGTGCTCCATGCTTTCGAGTTACCCCCAGACAGAACAAAGCGTTTCTTTGAATCTAGTATAACCTAAATATTCATATTCCGGCTTGTGGAACTATCGCCGTATGTTCCTGCCTTTCAAAATCTGCATTCAGCAACGCTAAACGCAAAGCACAATAAACCAAAAACAACCTTGAGATCATGGAGATTTCTACAGCTGACCCTCGTAACCTTAGGATTGGGACCGGTCCCGGTATCCGAGGAAAGACATGCGACATTTGCATGGAGGCCCTGAGAGATGACCATGCCAGTATTTCCCATGTTGCCTGTCAGAACACATTCCACAAAACCTGTTTTGACGCCTGGGCGCGTTGCAACTTTAGCCAGTCTGTTCCTATCACATGTCCCAAATGCCGAGCAACACTGAGCTCTCCAGCTCCACTTCCATTACCAAACCCGCTAGCTGGATCTCTGTTCTATGCTGAGGCTCCCTGGCCTATATATCCTCAAGAAGTCCGGTCTTTTTCTGAACGATGTCTAGCGACCACAGAGTCAGAGATGTACGACTATTTCGTTGGGGCTGGATTTCCAACTACTGCGTTTCTCGACCGAGTCGGAAGGGATAATGAACGAGCATCTGCGTGGATAGCTGACTATTTCATCCGGCTAAGTTGCGCCCAAAACCTCAACGACAATGAAGCTTTTGCTCGTGTAGCAAGAGCCGGCGACAACGCCCGTGAAGTTCGGTTTACCGAAGAGGGAGTGGATACATTTCTCGAGGAGGTTGGGCCCGGTGAAGTGGCGACTGATCGTGAGATCATCGACAGTATGGGGACTCGAAGACCTCGACCGTCTGTTGCTCGTTTCTTCGACAACAACCCCGGCCCTGCTTATCGATGGCTGACCTCTAACATGGCTCATACGCAGCGTGAGCTCGGTCTTGATATTGATCAGATGAATGTGGTCAAGAGAGCGTTCCTCGCTTCGGTGCGCCAAGCACTTCAAGCAAGACAGCAAAATGCTTGATTTCTGCGCTGTGCGAACCTGAGCAGGTTGATCAGCGGCTACTGGGAGATGCATTAAGCGAAGGTAAGTCCTGTTGGATGGCAGGAAATGTAAGTCAGCAAAATGCTTGATCTCTGCGCTGTGCGAACCTGAGCAGGTTGATCAGCGGCTACTGGGAAATGCATTAAGCGAAGGTAAGTCCTATTGGATGGTGGGAAAGGTAAGTCATGTCGTTTCTTTTGTAGCCCTTGAATTTTTACGCGAGCACTCTACTTCGTCGTCGCATTCTATGGCAGCAAATTCAGTTATCTTAACATCCGCCACGTTTCAAGTGCCTCTTCGTCATAAGCCTCTCTGTCTTGCTGTGCCAGCTTCCGTGATTGTAGATTCAAACTCCTTCAATGCTCCTCCTTTTCCGCTTTCTTCTTGTGCTGACGGCCGGTGACTCCTCCATATTAACACGCTGAATCAACTCCCTACTCCGGCAAACGTCATATGGGATTGTCACCGCTGCCTTGGTAACTGGACCATCGCCCAAATACTCGGCCAGAAGGGTACAGACAATCGAAGGCACCTCAATCTTCCCAATCACTCTCCTCATTCATTGGAACATGACATATCCGCACTCTTGCAGCTTCTTGCCTCTTGTCTTCCTCTCGTTGCACCATCCTTCTCTCGTCTCTTTTCTTCCCTATTGCTTCCACCAGATCCACCGCAAATTCGGGGACGTCAGAGATCAATGTCGAAATTCTCTGATCCCGAACGTGATGGGTAATGGCTTCACATGTTGAACTGACAATTTGTGTGCGTAGCTGACTCATCTGGTCTGATGTTTCCCCCAAGCCGTAAAGGTCTTCGAGCAAAGCTACGAAGCCGTCCATATTTGTCAGCAATTGCTGCTCTTTGCCGGCCAGATCTGCTTTGCCTAGCAAGGCATTCTCAGCCATCTCCCTCAACTCTGTAAGACCGTACTTGTCCGCAATGGTGTACATGGACAGATCAAAGCTCCAGTACACCTTTGCATCCTGACCTGTTGTTTCCTCGTCTTCGATTCCACTATCCGAGCCCGAACTTGTCTCCGTTCCAAGGAGCCTTTGATAGAGCTCGACGGGATAGTCCAGCGTGTAAAGATAAAAGAGCATTCCGTCGACAGCTACCGGATCGTCATCTTCCATCACTATGACCCTTGTCTGGCCCTCGGTAAACCTCCCATCAAAACAACATTTGAAGAAGTCACATCTCGGGCTGAGAACGTTGCGATGAGCGGGCCACGACCGACCCCTGCAGGTGACTGTACAATCGGCAAAGGCGCCTGTCCGAAGGAGTTGTTTATTGTAGTAGTAGGTTGAGTTTTTCACGCGCACCGTCTGTAGAGACGTGTTCTTCTGGTTGTTGATTGGGGAGAGCATTTCTTTGGTCATTGTTGTCCCCGACGTGATGGTATTTGTTTTTACCGTCTACTTCGTTCACAATCCTGAGATAGTCGGCAAGCCTGTTTACTTATCGAGCCAGCTCCTCTCACCTACGGCCAACGCGTTATATACTCCCCTTATGCGGAAATCCCTCCATCCCTGACTCCACCATAACGTAACGTAACATGACATAGCCGCAGGGAAGCGTTACTACCAACACCTGAGGTCACGCTCACGTATAAAAAACCTCGGGTTACGTGGAAAAACGTAAAAGGAACTGCCTTCCTTGGCCCCGAGGTGTCGGTCATGCCGGACTTTGACTAATGCCAAGAAAGCCAAGATCACCAAGAGGAAAGGGGCAGATGAGATCATTGGCAATGGCAATGACATGATTGCCGCGATTGGTCTAGTCTGCATGCCGTTTTGGGCAACAGGGAAGAATTTTTCTCCCTTTCTCTATATTTAGAATTGCCATCCAGTGCTACGTTAGTACTGTAGTACACAGTGCGGGCCATCTCCACCGAGTCATCTCAGCCTCAGCCTCTATTATCTCATCTTTCGGGTATTCTGGCGTTACCGCTGCTGGAATACATACGTAGTACTCGGTAGACAGCCAAACAACTCATTGACGCTATGCACTCCGTCACCTGCGAGACCATTGACCGCTCCTTGAGATAAGCATGACCAAGTGTAAAACATCTTGGCTTCCATAACTACATGACAGAACCTCAACCGGGGAGAGCCATACGTAGCACTCCGTAGAGTTGATTTCATTATTGGCGGGTGGAAGCTACGCTGCACCGCCCAGTAAAACGTGATCAGCGCAGCAGATCACGTTTTGCCCGTGGCCCGGCCCTTCCCTATTCCCCCTGGGAGACATGTGCTGGTGGTAACTACCCTTGCCGCGCGACACCGAGCAAAGTCCTTCTCTGCCGCCCAGCCTTCGGTTTTCCCTTAGCTATAGTAGCTTCAGCCAATTCAAAAGGTCAATCGAAGGGACCATTACTGAATGCTTCTGACAACTTTCCAGACACATTACTCCGTACGCGTGATATTCTCCCTCCAACCATCCCCCTACCCGTGTCCACAATACACCCCCAACACCCCGTGTAGCATTGACTGATCTTTGCTCCAATCACTTATCAGCCCACCCCAACTTCCAGCCGTCCCATCTCGAATCTCTGACATCTCAAAAGGCTCCCAGATATTGGACCCAAGACCTTTCCCCCCAATCTCGAATTTTTATCGAATATCAAGCTCCTTCAAAACCAATCCCGCAGTTGAAAACTTC